TCAATTCGAACGGTGTATAGCCCGTTGCTGTATGCGGTGTCGTATTGTACGTGAACATCGCGTATGGGATCCATTCATCCCAGTTGGTTTGATCCTCATTTATATAGTGTCTTAAGTATTCGATCAGAGTCCTGTGCGATCTCTCCAGGGCTCCGTTGCTTTCAGGATGGTACGCGGTTGTTTGAATTTTTGTTATTTTTAGGAGGGTGCATACATCCTTGAACATTTCACTGACGAAGTTCGTTCCTTGATCTGTCAATACTGTCTCCGGTATTCCGAATTCGCATATTATTTTTGTGGTGAACTCTTTGGCAATCGTGTTTGCTTCCTGGTCTGATATCGGTATTGCTTTACTAAATTTTGTTAAGTCGTCTTGGAATGTTAGTAGATATTTATTTCCTTTCATGGTGACCGGTCCTACGATGTCCAGGGCGCATTTTTGAAACAGTCTTTCTGCCGTGTCGGTCAGTACTAGAGGCATTTTGGTTTTCTTGCTTAATTTGTTTTTCTGGCAGTATTCACATTTGGCGATGTATTCTTCCACATCTCGTATTAGTCCGTGCTAGTTGTGCATTAGTCGTATTCGATTTACGGTACGTGTTACGCCTTGATGTCCTCCGAGGGGGGCATTATGATATTCGTACATTATTTGCTCCTTGTGTTCTTTGTTATATTCGCGTTCTTCCTTGTCGCGCTCGATGCTGTTTATCTGTGTGTCAGGCGCGATCGGGGTTTCTGCTGAGCGCGTCAGCATTTGTATTGCCTTTACCTGCCTTGTGTATCACCTCATAGTCGTACTCTTCTAATTTGAGCCTCCATCTGATTAATCGTGAACCAGGATCTGTTATACTAAATAGCCAGATCAATGGCTTGTGGTCTGTAATTATTTGAAATTTTGTTCCATAGAGGTATGGTCGAAAGTGTTTGACGGCCCATACTATAGCTAGCAATTCTTTCTCCGTTGTATTATAGTTTTGTTCTGCTTTATTCAGAATTCTGCTTGCGTATGCAATTGGTCAGTCTTGGCCTACTTCGTCTTGGCCCTTGCGACAATACTGCTCCGATGGCGTATCCGGATGCGTCTGTCGTTACTATAAATTGTTTAGTGAAGTCCGGGTAAGCTAGAACTGGTGTGGTCGTTAACTTTTCTTTTAATGTTTTGAATGCGTTCTGTTGTTCCACTGTCCAAGCGAACTTCTCATTCTTTTTTGTTAGTTTTGTCAGTGGTTTTGCTATCTTCGAAAAATTCTCGATGAATCTTCTATAATACCCGGCTAATCCTATGAAGGATTGCACATCTTTTATCCGTTGTGGTATTGGAAAGTTTGCTACGGCCGTTATTTTCACAGGATCCGGTATTATACCGTTTTCGGAGATAATGTGTCCTAATTATGTCACTTCCTTTCTTAAGAATTTACATTTATTCGGTTGTAGTTTCAGATTGTAGTTTCTTAGTTTTTTGAATACTTCAATTAGTCTTTTGTTATGCTCTTTCAAATTTGGTCCATATATTACGATGTCATCTAGATAGACTAGGCATTTGAGGCCTTACAATCCGGTTAGTACTGAATTCATAAGTCTCTGGAATGTTGCAGGCGCATTTTTAATCCAAAAGGCATTCTATTAAATTCGTAGTGTCCGTAAGGTGTGGAGAATGCTGTTTTTGTTTGTGTTCCTCATGCATGGGGATTTGATGGTATCCCGATGCTAAATCCAATGTTGTAAATTTCGCGTTTCCTAGTTGATCTAGTATGTCAGTGATATTCGGGAGCGAGAAAGAATCGCCAATTGTTAAGTCATTCAATTTCCGAAAGTCCACAACTATTCGTAGTTTTCGCTCTCCAGATGCGTCTAATTTCTTTGGTACTACTAGTAAGGGTGCGTTCCACTGACTCGTGCTGGGACGGATTATCTTGTCGTCGTAGCATTTTCGCTATCTGTTTATTTACTTCTGCCTTGTGCTTCTCTGGTAATCTATATGGTCGGACATTCACCGGCGCGCTATCTGCTCGCGTATTTATTTCATGTGCTACTGCGTTAGTGTACGATAGGCGGTCGTTTTCTAGGTGGAAGATATCACAGAAATCTTCACAAATCTGGTGCAAGGTTTTCTTTTCCTCTTTATTTAAATGCTCGGTTCGCATTTGTCTGTGCAATTTTTCTTTACGAGCTTGAATGGGCTCGTCGCTTGTTTCGTTACTTGACACCTCCATGGTATACATGTGTGCGACGTCTTTTGTCTTTATCTCGTCCACCGTGACTAGCGGCGTTGTTATCTCCACGGTATTCTCCCGTGGTTATTTATCACTACTTATTGGACATACGTTTTCTTCTGGTATGACCAATAATTTCCTATAGAAAACTCCGGGTTTGGTTTCGACTGCATTACTATTTCCAATGCTATTCCGATCGGTTA